CTCGCACATGAAGGATGTATGTGTGAGTGAAGGCAGAAAACTGCCTACTGATATCTTCCTTTATAAAGTAACCCATCTTCTCATGCTTAATCCTTTTGCTTGCATTTTTTTTCAATTACTTCCTATACAATTAATTTACATGGAAGAGAAACCTTTCATAACATAAAAGTTGTCAAAGTACAACCATAAACTATTGACATTTAATTTTTAAAATGCTTTGGTATCTTAAACTGCACTGGCTGAGAATAAGCATGAGAAATGGGGTTTTTCATTGCTTAAACAGTGTACCATTCAGAATTGTGCATATTGTAAAAGTCTAAATTGTTTTTGAAAGACTAACTATTTCTTCTTTTGGATTAAAGACACACAACATAATTTGAAAATGTCCGAGGAAGAAGATTCTTTTTTAAATGTCAGAAGATCTATGAACAAAACAGCAGTGAAACATAGTACTCCAGTGGACTCGGTGTTCTCCCAAAGTATGTTATCTCTGGATCTAACAAATGAATCTTTCAAAGAACAGGACACAAGCAAGAAAATCTATGGGTCTCCAATGGCAAAACCATTCCAAGAACAGCAAATGCACCTTGAAACACGCATCTCTCAAGTTATATTTCCAAGAAGGCTCTCCACAGTATTGGACTCAGAGGAATCGAAGGAAGAGATGAGCCACAGCTCTCGGATTATATTTCCTAGAAGAAGGCTTTCAACAGTATTGGCTTCAGAAGAATCAAATGAAGGGCCAAGTTATGAGGTGATCCTTCCCACTTCAGTAAAGGAAGAAGCTGAAGTCCCTGCTGAACCGCCCAAAAAGAAAGTGAGAGTAACTTCAAAACATTCACATACAGAGCTGGTTACTGGAATACCAGGAATAAAAGATCCAACACTAAGAAGAAGAAGAAAAAAGAAATTTGAAAAAGAACTTGTGGTAATAGTATTTTTTAATTTTTCTTCTACATTATACGATATTTGGAAATGGATTTCCAAAGGTTCCTAGCAGCTCAGGAAATTCTTAACTCTGTTCATAAGGTGTTTTAAATTACCCAAGATTTTCCTGCAGATTTTGCTGCTACCTCCATTCACAAAAAATGACCATGAACTATACAAGTCCAAGCAACCAGCAGTTTACAGACCCCTGGCAGATATTACACTTAAAACATGATGAACCAGTTAGCCATGTCTTTAGTAACCCAATCACACATTCATGCTATTAATGGCATGATAAAACAGGGAATAAGCCACAAACTCGTTGTTCAAAATGTATAACACTGTGGCCATTTCCCATCGTACCTCAAATAGATGGTCCAAGTTAAATGGTCAGGCCAAGCAGGTGACTGCTGCTAGCCCAGGGGTGCATCAGAATCAAAGGTTCCCATGTGCCTCCAATGCTGGGAGTGGCAGTCAGCCAATTGGGGTTCCCGGTCTCAGGACTGCATCAGAGTCAAGGGCTTCCAAGGGTGAAAATGCCAATAGCTGACTGGTTTGCTACTTGGGGGTGCAGAAGGAAACCCAGAATCATGATATTGTTCCAGCAATATGGTGCCAGTGGGACCTGATACCTGATCCCACAATTGTGCCTCCTGTCATGCATATGTAAAATGGCAGGAGGCGCAATTGTTGGGATCAGGGATTGATTCCATCATACCCAGAACTGCCAGGGGCCTCAGATTCATACATTTGATTTTTAATGTGATGGCGACTTCCCGTTATACGTGGCACTTGTCTCTGGTATGGTAAGGTGGTACTTTATAGTCAGGTGGTACTGTCTGCTTCCATGAGGTGTAACTTAAGCATCATACCTGCTTTGAGAGAGAACTACAGACAAACATGTGATGTCCCTTGGTTAATAACATAAGTTGCAGCAAAAAATATGCAATTCCTATTCTCATCTCATAGAATAACCTATAGGCCAATAATTATGTGCTGAATGAAATTAATGATTGGCTTTACGGGGTTGTGGGGGAAGCACATTAAACAGAACCCATGGTCTCCTGTTAAAAGCACTTACCTCTTTAATTAAAAAAAATCCCCATTAGTTGTTATGAACACATGATAGAGGGCACATATTTAAGCAATTCCATTCAATTCAGAAGAGTGTTGTTATAAACTTACACATTAGCCTGACCATTACAATTTTATAGAAGAGCTTCTTTAAGGGGGAGTAAAATTCATAGTTTCATAGTTTCTAGGGTCGGAAGGGACCTGAGCAGATCATCAAGTCTGACCCCCTGATGTAGAATGTAGGAGTTGGAGGTGGAAAAAAGCATTAGTTGAGTTTACAAATAATAACCTCTTTATTGCTCCAAGAGGTATTAATAAAAAGCCAAAATGGTAGCCAAATAAAAGACTGAGAACTTTTCTGAAGCTACGACAGGTGTTCTCTATTTTACGCCCCCCCATGTCTGGGATTTCATCTATCCTTTCACATCAACCATGAGTGTTGGGGGTTCAGAAATGGCAGCCAAGTCAGCATGCTACCAGCAGTATGACCATTCTCACTGCTTATGCACTGCTGCTGCCTAGGGTGCTTAAGGCTAAGGACAGAAATTACTTTCAAACTGCTATAAGTGATTTAAAACCATTCAAATCTGTAACACAAAAGTTCAGTGCATATAAATCACTTTCAAAATGGCCAGAACAGATTTAAAATAAATCTGGATGGATGTAGTATCAGACTTAACTGGTTTAGGTTAAATCAGTGTGTTGAACTTCGGTCCCAGATCCCCCTCCATGTTGAAGTTAACTTATAGCATACCAAATTGCTTTGCACCTTCCCTGCCAACCCCACTTCTTGGAGTGAGCAGGCTAGTTTTGGCCCAAGCTGTCTTCTCCAGCTGAGCATGGAGGTGTGCTCTAGTGCCCCCCGACTTCTGGCCTGGGCCTCTGCAAACCTGTGGATGCATTTTCAGAATCAAAAGTGAATGTCTGTTCACTTGCTTATCGGTTCAGTCTATGCACTTTAGACTAACTTGTGAAGATTGAACTGATTCAGCCTCGGGCTTTTGGACTGTCTGTACTTAGCCTGTGTGTCCAGTTACTCTTCTCATAGTAACTCTGGTGCCATTAGTGTAGTCATACCATTGAGTAAAAGCTGAGCATGTTTGACTTGTTAATTGTGACTTTTTAAAAAATTCTGTTGTGCATGATCCCATGCTGTGTGTGTGGTGGATAGCCTCAGAGTGAATTCTCTTTTTATAACAACAATTTTCTCTTTAAAACAGAAAGAAATACAAAACTCCTGGGAGTTACGTCAACTTAAAAACATTGAAGAAGCAACTAGACATAACCTGACAATTGAAGAAGTTTGATCTCATACACTGTGGAGTGAATAGTGTCACATGCTATACAACTGGAAAAAAAATGGTTGTATTAAAATACAGATATGGTTGCCATGCCTATTGTAATTTTGTGAGTGGGGAGGGGAGGGAAGAATAGCATTGAAACAGTGTGCTTGGTATTTTCAAATACCAAAACTTCTTTCATAAATGGAGATATTGCCATCTAGTCTGACATATTGCTTCCTCCTGCCCCCCCACCCCTTTATTGTGTCAGTGTCACTTCTTCAATCCTTCTAGGACTGTCGTGTAACATAAAAAGCATGCATGGTCCATTAGGCTGCTTCTAGTATAATCCTTGTTAGTCAAAGAAGAATCTCTTCATCTATAGAGTAATCATAGCTGATGCAATCTGGAATGTTTTTGCTGTTCTGGGGATATGAGGAAATAACACGAGGCACAAAGGAGGGAGGACAGCCCCTGGAGATTACTAATTAATTACAGCTTGTTTTGAATAGCTGACTCTAAATGAAAGTACTCTACCCTTTGATATTTTGTAACTGCACAACCCGCATGGAATGAATGCATCTAACTGTGCTGCCATTTGCACCAAGCAGTTATGAGCATGTTCTCCCTCTCTCACTCTCCCTGGAACTAAGCTACTGTATTCAGGGGAAAGAAATTCTTTGGAGGCAGAGTTACTAAAAATGCCTGCTTCAATCTCAGCAGCTTCCTGTTAATAATGAGTCCATAACTAATACATAAGATGGAATCTCACTTTGCTATCATATCTAAAATACTTTTAGTATTAGACATTAAGGTAGTGGCTAATGGCTCCACTTGAAATGGTAGCCCTACTGCACTACTTGATGGGCAGATATATAGGCTAGGTATCAAGGTTCAAAAAGCCTGAGGTGGATTTGCACGTTCACAGCTTTTTCTAAATGCCCTGGATAATTTTGGGAGCAAATAGAACTCATCTGCCTGCAAGGAGCATGGAGGTGGCCTGCACTGGCTGGATGCATCCCCATGAGCAGGATCATGCACTTCTCTGAAGACAAACAGCAGTGGCACACCTTTTGCCAGGGAATGCCCATTCCACATGGACTCCGGTGCATAGCAGGTTATCCTGGGTGAGGTAGTGGAGGCTAGGGCCAACAATTGTGCTGGTCCCAGCAGCCTTACTTGGGGTGCTGGGGCCCTCCAGAAGCTGCAGCCATGGTGTTCCTGCAGCAGGGAGCTTGGGTGGCAGCTGGAGTGTACCTCCATCAGCTAGGCTGCAGTTTTGGGCAGCACATGCTATTGCCATACTCTACTATTGCTATTGCCATATCCTACTTTGCAATGCCCTACTTCTTTTTGCATGTTTTTTTTTTGGGGGGGGGGTCAAGAAAGCCCCCCACGCTGCAAAGTAGCAGTGCAGGGAATACCTGGAAGCATGTCCATGCTTATCTGGACGTGCCTGCAGAGGCTAGCAAACTAGGAGTGCTTTTGCACAACTCCCAGCAAGCTGACAGAAAGCTCTGAGCCCAGCCAAGCAGCCCACTACCCCTGATTAGCCAGTGAGGCCCCTCTCTCCAGCTGTACCACTTGCCAGCTTTGGGCTATCTATAGTGGCTGAGGTGAGGGGAAGAATGGAGCCCCCCACTGCATGGGTCCCCTAACTTGGGATCTGGGGACACATAGCTGTCTGTCATGCTGGAAACTGTGAGGGGGAAAGGAGGGGGCAGAGCCTTCTGCCACACAAGTCTTCCCCAGGTGGCTGACTCAGGGCTGGGTCCATGCAGTAGGGAAGCTCCATTCCACCCCTACATGCAGCCACTCATGCCAGCAGGAGACAGGTTTTTCTGGCTCCTGTCTGTGACAGCCCAGGGCCTGGGTGGGGCAAGGCCAGCTCAGGGCTCTTCTTGAGCAGATAAGCACAAGCCAAGGCTAGCACACCACTCTGTAAGGGGTGCCAGCAATGCCAGAAGACAGTGAACTAAAGTGATTTGCTGAAGGATCTGGGACAGAACTTTGATATACTGCTCCAACCTAAACCAATTAATTCTAATACTACATTTGTCAAGGTCTATTTTAGACCAGGTTTCATCATTTTAAAACTGATCAATATGTGTTGAACTTCTGTTCTGTTACATCTTTAGACTTGTTTCCAATCCCATATACTAGTTTATATGCAATGTCTATAACTAGCCATAATGTAAGAGCTCCTAACTCAAAGGAATGATACTAAAAACACACAAGATAGGGGAAGGTGGGCAGTGTTATTAGATGTAAAATGAAAAACCGGAGGCTCATGCATGCAAAGTCTGTGATAGAGGTAGGATTTAACCCCCAAGTCTTCTACAGGTATGTCTGTACTGTGGAAGCTGTGTTTCTATGTTGTGCACACATTCCAAAAGCCAGAAATATGCTCCTGCAGATGCTCCAAAGTGCTCTTCTGCAGCCTGAGGGCAGCTACCAGGGAGCACCCTGGAACACTTTCACAAGCATGTTTCTGGGTTTGAAGCATATAGGCAGTAGGCAGTGCAAAGCTTCAGGTGCTGATTCGATTCGGAGGAGATTTGGCTCAATTTGGCGACTGAATCTCCAAATCCAATAAGGGGACCAATAAAAAGGTCTGAATTGATTCAGAGAGCTTCGATGATTTGGGCAGTCCCCACCTGCTGCAGCAGGGAGCTGGACCTGGACTTGGAGCTGATAAGTAGGGGGCAGGGCAGGCGGGGGTGGGGCTGGAGAAGGGGGGAGG